ACTAACTTATTTCTAAGATACTATCTAACAAAAATCTGAAATATCTATATTTTATTAATGCCCAAAGGGGCTCAGTTAGCCAGCAATGCAATGTGGAATAGGGTAGTGACTTTCAGCAAATGTCATAATGCTCTCTATGCTTACATAGGGATGTAAATATATATATATGTGCATATACCTATCTCTAGTCACTGAGAGAGAGAAATATACACAACATGTAAATCCCAGGCTACATGATAACCAAAGTCATGAGTAGCCTCTGCACTGGCATTGACCATAAACCCTTACTAGTGTTATCCCTGGGTCCCAGAAGTTGAGTCCTCTTTCTCCTTGTCTGCTGACAACCAATGGCCATCACTCTCAAGGCCACCCTTTTGGGATCTTTCTGTGCCTTTCTCCAAATATCAAAGTTGCTGTTCATTATCTGAGTTGATATTGTCACTGCATTTGAAGTGTAGGACATTTTGTTCTTAACATGCCAGCCCTAAGGAAGTCTTGACTCCACATTTAGAAATTTAAAACTTTGGCTGGGTCTGGTGGCTCATGCCTGTAATCCCAGCACTTTGGGAGGCTGAGGCAGGTAGATCACTTGAGGCCAGGAGTTCAAGACCAGCCTGGCCGACAGTGAAACCTCAACTCCACTAAAAATACAAAAATTAGCCAGGCATGGTGGCACATGCCTATAATCCCAGCTACTCAGGAGTCAGAGGCATGAGAATTGCTTGAACTTGGGAGGTGGAGGTTGCAGTGAGCTGAGATCATACCATTACACTCCAGGCTGAGCAACAGAGTGAGACCCTATCTCAAAAAAAAAAAAAAAAATTAAAAATTTTCATCGGAATAATAGCCATACAGACAAATTGCTTTAAGATTTTTTTTTTTTTTAGAATAAATGTCATTAAGCTAAATGTCCTGGAGAAAGAAAACACTTCTGTTTTTTCCATCATTATTTTATTGAAAATATCTTTATTGACACAAATTATTTTTCATATAAACATTGAAAAAATGTTGAGTCATTGAGCAGTTTTCATTTTTCCCGAATCTTACTGGGTGTCGCTTCTACAATCATGAGTTTTGCATGATCTCCAACAGGCTGATTTTTCTGACTGCAATTTGAGACCTTTTTATTTTATGTTTTCACTGTCAATATCAATTCCGTTTTCTTCCAAAGCTACAAGATGGATTATCTCAGCTAGGTTGTATTTAATGGCTGGAATGAATTTTAGGTCTCCTTTTCCAGGGACCAGAGGTTAAATGACTTCCCTAAAGTATCCTACCCATTTCACGTCTGAGCTGAGGTTAGAGTCTTGGCTTCCAGCCCAGAGTTTCTCCACTTCACAAGCATACCCACTACTGGAATAATGGAGTCACAGCAGTATGCTGGTACAGTTAAAATTGGAGCCTATATGCATGCCTGCCATAATTAAAGCAGGGCCAAGAAATAAGGTATTTCACATCTAGTGTTAGCTCTGAATCCACACCCAAGATGACCACCTCCTATAGACAGAGAGAAGATTGGGGGTTTTTGTTTTGTTTTGTTTTGCTTTTGAGAGGGAGTCCCGCTCTGTTGCCCATGCTGGAGTGCAGTGGCATGATCTTGGCTCACTGCAACCTCCACCTCCCAGGTACAAGCAATTCTCCTGTCTCAGCCTCCCGAGTAGCTGGGATTATAGGCATGCGCCATCATGCCCAGCTAATTTTGTATTTTTAGTAGAGATGGGATTTCGCCGTGTCAGCCAGGCTGGTCTCAAACTCCTGACCTGAGGTGATACGCCTCAAAATGCTGGGATTATAGGCACGAGCCACGACATCCAGCCGATTGGGTTTTTTACAAAGGCACTAAGATTTGGTGGTGAGTCAAGGTTCATATAATGTTAAGAAAAGTTATGGCTTTATCTGGGAACTTGTGATATTAATAAAAGAACGCATGCTGAAATTGGCCAAAATGAGCAGAGAGAATATGGTGGGCAGTGTCATGGATAAGAGAATACGGGGCAGGGCACAGGGCAGAGTGCATAGTCTGGCTCATAGCCTGCAGCTTGGAGAGTGAGAGATGGGAGAGAAACCAGAATGGGAACATGGGGCCTGGATAGTATGTAAGGAGTGTGTGTTCCATTGTTTAAGCAGTGGGGAACCGTCAGAGGTTTCAAAGCACATTTTAAAAGCTGTTCTTTGGGAACTTTATAATGGTAACTTTAGGATGAATTCAGAGTGAGGAAACTCTAGAAATAGGAAGTCATATAAGGAGCTTTCTTGGAAGAAGATTCTCCATCTATTTCATACGTCCACCTTATTGATACTGGTTTGGAAGTCCTGAAATAGAGGTCAGGGGGAATAAGCTTTGGAATGCCCAGGCTGTGAGGACTGATTCCCTGTTTGAGAGATGGTGTTAACTGTGTGTCCACACCAACTTAAAGGCTCGGTATCCACAGGGAGATCACTCAGTGCTGGTGTCCCTGGCCCTAGTAAGCATCCTCAGCCCCCTAAAGCGCAAGCCCTGCACCAAGACTTGCACCTTGACCTTGACCTGGGTTTAGTATATAGAGCCCTCAGGCCTATGGTCTGCCACACTGTGCTCAGGGGCTTCTCCCAAAATGTCCTGGTTTCCAACAGGAATCAGACCTTCAGCTAGAGGTTACATCTAGGGAAACCAAAGAGAAGCAGCACGCCACCCCGAAGCTTGACTGTTCTGGAAAGCCCTCACCAATTGGAGGGGGTCTATGACAGGGGAAGAAGGTGGCGTTAGACAAGCCTGGTTTAAACTTTCATTTTGTCACTTGCTAGCTATGGGCTGGTTACTGGTCCTGGAAACTTTGTTTTTTGTGTTTTGGGGTTTTTTTGATATGGAGTCTTACTCTGTCATCCAGGCTGGAGTGCAGTGGCATGATCTTGGCTCACTGTAACCTCCACCTCCTGGGTTCAAGCGATTCTCCTGCCTCAGCCTCCCAAGTAGCTGGGATTACAGGTGCCCACCACCACACCTGGCTGATTTTTGTGTTTTTAGTAGAGACAGGGTTTCACCGTATTGGCCAAGCTGGTCTCGAGCTCCTGACCTCAGGTGATCCACCCACCTTGGCCTCCCAAAGTTCTGGGATTACAGGCATGAGCCACCATGCTGGAAACTCTTGAGTGAGAACAGTTACTTCATAGGGGTGATGGGAAGTTCAAAATAGATGATAAGGATGGCGACTGATGATTCAGCATCTGTGAGCTCTCAGGCCATGGTCTACCACACACTTTTTTAATCCACAATTTTATGGAATCAGAGTAGCTATCCTATAAACTATGTCATGGTATTTACTAACTCATAACTGAGCAAACAGAAGCTTCACCAGACAAACTTGCTTAAGGCTTTGAACAGCAATAGTATCTGAGATTTGGAAATCCAAATTTCGATCTTTCCACCACCCCAAACTGTCTTTAAGTACCTGTGAGGGGAGTGCAGTGGGGAGGGATGAACTGTAGCCGGATCTAGGCTACATGCCCCCCTGTATTAGTCTGTTCTCGTACTGCTATAAGGAAATACCTGAGACGGGGTAATTTCTAAGAAAAGAGGTTTAATTGGCTCACGGTTCTGCAGGCTGTACAGGAAGCATGGCGGCGTCTCCTTCTGACGAGGCCTCAGGGAGTTTTACTTATGGCAGAGGGCAAAGCTGGAGCAGACATGAGAATGAGCAGGGGAGATGCCACACACCTTTAAACCTTTAAACCTTTAGACAACCAGATCTCATGAGAACTCACTCACTATTGCCAGGACAGCACCAAAGGAGACATGGTGGGGACAGCACCATTCATGAGAAATCTGTCCCATGATCCAGTCACCTCCCACCAGGCCCCTCCTTCAACATTGGGGATTGCCATTAGACAAGCAACTTGGGTGGGGACACAGATCCAAACCATACTACTGCCCTTGGGGTATGTGGTGATGGTGGCAAGGGGGTGGCATGGTGGTAGTGGACAGAATATCTGGCAGCACATCCTAACCACCATAGAAGACTTTGTCCCCTAAAGGAAGGAGGAGTTCTTATATGGAGGAGGATGGAGAAGGCATGGTTTGTCTGCAGAAAGCAGTAACAACCACAGCTTCCTGATTGTGCTTTTCTAAAACTCATATTAACTTTTGTTTGTTTCTTGAATATGCACAACTAGAATATGGAGGAAAGAATGACTATAGTCCTTCGAGTGGATGATCAGACTAGAATTCGAACATTTTCACGGATAGGCCACAGAGGGAATGACAGACAGCTAGCCACCTGCCTTTCTTGGAATTACTGCTGAGAATTCATTTTTGTGTGTTTTATTAAGAATTTTAAACAGCTTAGGAAGCATTATGAACTGTCTCTGAAGGAACAGTTCCAGAAAGGTCTTCAGCAGGTCCTTGATAACATTGACATGGTCAGAGGAAGCAACAAGCAAAAAATGTCACTTTTGCATTTGACCAGATGAGAGGGAATGAGAAGTTTTCAAAAACATATTGAATGGAGGAAAATAACTGTTAAATAGGCTTAAGGCAATGATAATCAAATATAGTTAATTCCCTGGAAAAATGTTTTAGCTTTGGCTGGGCATGGTGGCTCACACCTGTAATCTCAACACTTTGGGAGGTTGAGGTGGGAGGATCGCTTGAGCCCAGGAGTTCAAGACCAGCCTGGGTAGGCACTGTAGTGAGACCCTGTCCCTACAAATATATATATATATATATATTTTTTTTTTAAAGAATTAACCAGGTGTGGTGGTGCATGCCTGTAGTCCCAGCTACATGGGAATCTGAGATGGGAGTATCACTTGAGCCCAGGAGGTTGAGGTTGCAGTGAGCCATGTTCATGCCACTGCACTCCAGCCTGGGCATCAGAGTAAGACCCTATCTCAAACAAAACAAAACAAAACGTTTTGGCTTTATTACAGAAATCGGCAAACAGAATCTTCATCTCCCCCACCAGCAGTTGCCTTCTACAATGATGGATGTCCTCTTTCATGGGTGCTTTGTCTCTATCTTCCAGACATGGGCAAAGTTCCTCTGTCCATTTATGGGAATCAGACTGTGGGCAGAAAACCAGAACACAGTAATCAAACCACACCCCGCCTCCCAGCCAGAGAGCTTCCCTGAAGTCACAGGTGAGGTCCTCCAAAAGCAGGCACTGAGGCAAAGTTTGGGGTGCAAATAGTTTGTTAGAGACCAACACCTGTGGAAGGAAGGGTATGGGGCAGGATTGGACAAAGGGAGAAATAAAACTGTGAGACAGGCCAGACAAACCAGGCGGGGAACTCTCGAGAGCATATTTTCTATCAGCGTCGCACACTGGGCCAAAATAGTGAGGCCTTTTATGCCCAGCTCATTCACTCACCAAATTTGGGCTGCCCCAGGAAGGTCATCATCTTGGGAAAGCAGCTCTTTGCAGCTGAGGCAGACCCTGAAGGAGCTGACAGCTGGGGGCTTTCTGCTGAATGCACTCCCTGCAGCTGAGCAGCAAGTACATCCTTGAAGAGAGGTCCAGTGGGGTGCATCTCTATGTCTACCACAAAGGCCACCCAGATAATGTACTTGCTAGCTCTCACGGATTTAGGGGCAGGGAGTTGGGAGCAGCAGGGAGCTGGGGTTTGCCTAATATGGGAACTTGGTCTTTGTTTACATGACATAAAATTTTGCCTAAGCTCTCAGTGTAATTATGTCTTATGTTTGCCTTACAAAGATGGATCGGGCCTTGGTTTTTAACTCATATCAAGATTCCAAGATAGGCGAGATGGATCTTTCAAGAAAAAGATAAAAGAATCATCAGAAAATATTTCCCTTTTTCAGTTATTTATCATGGAATAATAAATCACTCCAAAACTCAGTGGCTTAAGACAATGTATTATTTCTCACAAATATGTGGATGGAGTGGGCTCAGCTGGGTGGATCTGATTCAGATGGGGCAGGCTGAGGTCATATGTACAGCTGCATTCAGCTGGGAGTTTGGCTAAAGCCGGGACATCCAAGATGATCTCCTCTACTCCAGTGCTCTCTCCATTCGGCCTCTGATCATGTCCCTGGCCTGGACTTTTCCACAATACAGCAGGCTGGTCTTCCAAACGGAAAAGCAAAAGATGCCAGTCCTTTTAAGGCCTGTACTCAAAAGTCCCAGATATTATTTCCATTTCATTCTCTCTTGGTCAATGCAAAACACAGAGCAAAGCAGATTTCTTTTGGTGGGAAGAATGGCAAAGAATTTGGAGCCATCTTTAATCTGCTCCTTTGCCCTAAACCAATGTGTCTCAACCTTTGCAGATACAGATTTCCACTCCTGCTGTCCAGATATCCTGATTTTATTAGTCTGGGGTAAAACCTGGGCATTGGTATTGAGGCTTCATAGAGGTTTCTAATATGTAGCCAGTTTGGGAACCCTACACTATGATGTCTTTTGTCCCTCTATTGATAATGACATGGCTTCCATCTTGCAGGAACCCCCATGTGGCTTATGTTTGGAGAAACTTTCATTCTGATTCCTGAAGTGTGTTCTAAATCCATTTTTTATTTACAAGCCAACCAGAAATTTGAGAACATAGTTTTACTCTTTACAAATCAGCCATTGACCTGAAGCATTGTGTCTGTCTTCCAGTCAGTAGTATCAACTGGTATGACACTGGTTCTCTGACATCATCAGCCAAAACCTTAATCTAAATTATAGACTTCAATCCCTGCCATGCACTGTAGGTTTACAAGTGGTCTTTGTTCTCTTAAATTATTGATAGATCACTGGCAATTTAGACTTGTAAGAAAACTCTTTTATTTGTTTAAAAGCATGGTTTCCTTTTCCCAGCAGTTTTGTGCTGTACTGAAACTATGTGGTCCTGGTGTGCAGTGCTCTTAGATAGTAGTGTGTCTGTGTTGCCTTTCAACAAAGAAAAAACTATCAAGCAGTGTCTGCTTTAAACATCATCCAGAGTGATGGTTTGCAGCAAAGATGTCCACCAGCCACAGTGAATTTTTTTCTGGATAATAGATTCATATAATTCCATGTCAAAGCAAAAAAAAAAAAGTGCAACCTTTTAGACTGTGAAGTCTTACTATAAGTAAGCTCAGTATTTCCATTAGTTAGTCATTAGGTTATTTAATAAGGATTCTTAATCTGGAGTCAGGGTCTCTGGTTAGGATTCAAGGAGTTGTCAGTGAACTTGGAAGGGAAAAAAATTGCATCTTTATTTTCACTAACCTCTAACTGAAATAGCATTTCCTTTCATTATGAATTGTGAAATTTCACATTTCCTTCCTTTATAAATGTAGGCAACAAATCACAGTGGCACAGCAGTACCTTTGACTTCTGTCACCAATAGAAAGCAGAGACATTCTCATACCAAATACCACATACACTGTTGGAGATACCTTGAAAACCTTTTATCCTTATCACTAAAATTAAAATTATAGTAGTTTTCAGACCCTCTGGTTTCTCCTACTGAATGTGCTAATATAGAAGTATATATGTGCTATCTCACAATTTTTTTTTTTTTACTGTTTTGATGATTTCAATGGAATGTTTCATTTGCAATCCTAGCAAAGCCTAGGATTTGATTTTAATTCACTGTATATTATATATGTATATGTGTGGGTACGTGTGCGCTGTGTATTATTTAGGTATTTATTTATTTTAAGGCAGGGTCTTACCCTGTCGCCCAGGCTGAAGTGCAGTGGCACCATCATGGCTCACTTCAGCCTTGAACTCTCAGGCTCAACAAATCCTCCCACCTCAGCATCCCAGGTATGTGGGACCATACGTACATGATACCACGCCTGGCTAATTTTTGTATTTTCTTGTAGAGATGGGGTCTTGCCATGCTGTTCAGGCTGGTTTCGAACTCCTGAGCTCAAGTAATCCTCCTGCCTTGGCCTCCCAAAGTGCTAGGATTATAGGCATGAGCCGCCAGTCCCAGCCAGCATGTATTTAGAAACATTATTGTGAAAAGGTGTCCATAGGCTGCACGAGACAGTCATAGGAGACTGTAGCACAAAAACAGATGAAGAACCCACGCATTCGACTATTTGAATTGTTGAGAATAATTTATAGACTCTCCCCAGCCCAAATCACTTATCACAATTGGTGATACCAGACAGACTTCATGAGCTAAACTATCAAGTAGGCTTGAATTTTGTTTCTAGTTGATTACACTGGCAATTCTAACTACTTCTGTTACCATATCCAAGTGATGTTCTAATATAGGATTAAGAGAATGGATACTGTGTTAGACTTGGAATAGATCCCTGCTGTACCATGTACCAGCTGTATGACCTTGGGCAAGTTACTTAACCTCTCCAAGAACCCCCTCACCTGTGAAATTGGGATAATGTTATCACCCACCACTCCCACAGGAGGGCTCATTATTAGGATGAATTGAGATAATGCTTATAGATTACTTGACCCTCTCTCTACCTGGCATCTAATAAGCATAAAATAAATGTTGGTTTCTATTGCCATTAGGGAGCTCTCTTAGCATTAATCTATTTTCACAGGGCAAGAAGCTCTCGCTCTGTTCATAGAGTCCTTATAAGACATTTTGTATTGAAGTTTCAGATGATGAAATGAGTTCAATATTGTCTGTCAGATAGGCCTGAAACTACCACAGTTGTATCCAGTTTTAACCTGACTAACAAACAGACTGTCTTGTCAAAAGGTAGTAGTAGCAGAAAGGGATGGGGCAGTGTTGGACATTTTGCTATATGACAGCCTAATAGGAAATAAAAATGGCTGAGTTGAGTAATGAGTTGTTTCTAAAGTATTGAGTCCCTTCTAGTTTAACGATAATCTGAAACATCCCTGTTGACAACAAACGAGGCGCATCCAGCTTTTTTTTCATTTTCTCCTGTTTGTACTGAGCTTCTAACATACGGAAGACAGGAAATATAGGAGCTTACATTTAGAGAGTAAAAAACTATCAAAACAAACCCAAATATTTGGCAACTTACTGCTCTTCTGCTGTCCAGCATGGAGATGTGGGTATTTATTTTTGTTTCTAATATTTATTTTTTTATACAGCAACCAGAGTCCCAAGGTTTAGATTCTGGCACCAGCTCTGTCATCTTAGAGCTGCTTGCCAGAGGGGAACTTCCCACTTTTGACTTTGTTTCAGTTCAATTGCTTCTCCATGCCTTCCCCACATACTGTTTTTCAGACATGGGGCCAATCTCATCATATCTGTGCAGGGGAGAAGAAAAAAGCACAGCAGAGAACATGTTAAATTTCCTAAAGATTCATTTTTGCAAGGATGGCAGCATCAGCAGGTGGTTTTTCTTTTCTTTTTTTAAATTTAAAATTGAATACATACCAAAGAATATTTACAGTGCTGTGTAAGATAAAACAGTGATAAATGAACACTTTTGCACTCACCAGCCAGTTTAAAAAATACAACATTGCCCTTCCCAATTACCCCTGGAGGTAGACTACTGTCCTGAATTTTGCTTTTATCATCCCCTTTCTTTTTGCTTTGTTAATAGTTTTACTGCAGATGTACATATCCATATATAATATTTTATTTTTCATGTTTAATTTTATAGAAAAGGAATTATTTTGTATGTATTTTGCAAAAACATACTTTTGCTATTCAGCACTGCAGGTGAGATTCACCCATGTTGATATGCTCAATTGTGTCTTATTCTTTTTCATTGCTGCATAGTATTCCATCATATAAGTATTATTCACCCATTCCATTGCTGATGGGCATTTGGGTTGTTTTCAGTATTTTGCTTCTACAGATAGTGCTGCTATGGACATTTTTGCACATATCTCCTTGTGCCTGTGTCAACCTCACTAGATAATGTCAAACTGTTTTTCTAAATTGATTATTCTTGGCAGTAAAGTATAAGAGTTCTGATCATTCCATAATCTCAGCAAACACTTGGACTTGCCTCTAGTTCTTTCACTGGAGCTTGTTAAATTAAAGGAAGGCTTACTGTCCTTTCTCATGTCTAAAAGTCATGGCTTATATTCTCTTTCCATGGCTGTCTCCTGTTTTTTTTTTTTTTTTTTTTTTTTTTTTTTTTTTTGGAATGCCATCAAATTAAAGGACTCTGGCATACACACACACAGTGAAGGTGGAGTGGACATTTTACATCCAAGTCCGTTTTTCTTCCTGTGTGTCCTGTGCTA